TTTAAATAAAATATACTTAATATTTTTAATCAATATTACACCGATTTATATTTTAATTAAAAATTGTTTTTTTTTTGTTTTGAACTTTTAATTAAAGTATTTGTAAATATTGGGTTTTTTAATATATAAAAAAAAATATATCAAAAAGCAACAAAATAAATCGAATGTAACCTTAGTTATTTATTTATTATAAATTATTAAGTTTGAAATGCATTCCAACTGAAAAGATCAAAGTGAAAATTAAAAACAATTGCTAATTCAATTATTTTTACAACTTTTTCAAGTGTGTCTTGAGTAGAAAAAAAAATAGTTGAAAATCACTGGTATAAAACATAATAATTTTACTAAATAATTAACATTCATTCATAAAAGAAAAGTGATAATTTAATTTTTTTTTTTTTCCAAAAATATGATGATTTAAAGATTGGATTTGTTATGTAACGAAAAACGTATTCACGACTTTGTTCTACACATTAAGCAGTACATTATATAGAGTGCTCGACAAAATCCCTCGTACGTGACGACAGAATTTAATACACAAATTTCATAACTAAACACGGAAAAAAAGTTTAAAGCTCTCTCATTTTTATTCGTTTATTATGCAACATTGCGTAACAAACACTTTAGTTAGGTATATTTAATTAGTTTATAAGTGAATATCAACATAATGAATACTTTTTATTTGTAATCTACAATAATTTAAACATATTTATAAAAAAACATAAGCAAGAATTGAATGTTATAAACCGTAGGTTATTATAAATAATCATGTAAAAATATCTATTATAAAGTATTTTGTACATTTTGTACTTTATATTATTGTACAATTTAATTAATATAACTTGTAAAACTAGTTACAATTTCATTAACTAATTTAATTATAAACTGTCTTAGTGAACTGTGCCAACAAATATTATCTTGACCGGAAGAATTTCATTTATTTTTTTACAAGAATTGAGGATAAAATCGTGAAGTTTTTTCTTTTAATTAAATTATTTAAATCGGCTTAAACTGAAAGCGATGGAGAAAGAAGCATTAAGCACAGAGTGTAATGCCTTCAGTTTAATCAAACAGCTTCTCAGAATTCGAAGAAATCGGAGAGAATTTCCGCGTGCTGAACTAATCTCTGGCATACATTCACGAAAAAAAAAAATCATCTGCAAGCTTCATAGCTATTATTAAATTATAGCCAGAAGCCAGTCACTCGTGAAACATTTTTACATCATTTTTTTCTGTTTGTCTATAGAAATCATTTTTCTGCAATTTTTGTTGGAGGTCGTAATCATGAATGTAAAGATCGAAAAACAAAGTTCGTGAAGAAACTTGAAGCAGAAATAAGAGAGATATTGATTGTAGAATATTTGCTAGAGCAAACGTGAATTGCAACGTTGATTAATCGATAGATTTTATCCTCTGGTACTGTTTTTCTTTTTCTTTTTTTTTGCAAGCTTTCCATGGGAATGGGATTTCGCGCACAACAATGAACTTGCGTTTATACACTTAATTGTTCTGACCTATAAAGGCTTCGTGATTATGGCGATGTACTCGACGAAGGTTGGACGAGATCATCATTTTAGGAAGCTTGTCCATCAACGGAACAACGATAATCAGTAAAAATCAATCAATGATTAATCGACGACAAACACGGTGAGAGCAGCAGCAAAACGTAGAGAAGACAACATGAATAATTTATAATTTTCTACAGACTACACCAGTTTGATAAACAATTAAAAATCAAGAAGAAACTGAGTAAGCAAACTCAATTAAAATTAGGTCGTTAAACTAGTTGCTAGTTTATACATCTTCAGATGCTTATTATAAAATATAAACCTAACTTTAACAGCATTTTAATTATTACACGTACATTTTCTTATTATCATTTATATACAAATTGGAACAAGAAAAAGTAATGATCATTTTATTAGAATGTAATAAACAACGCACGTAATCAGTTTCGAGGACTAATCGAGAACTTTTAGAATTAGTTTGTATTAAACTATTGCTTGTTTCGAAGTTTACATAATCCGGACTGATCGAAGCACTATTGCTGTGCCTATTCAACTTTTCAAATTTTAGTTTAAGTGTATTTAAGTCATCAACATGTTTAACTTTAATGTTAAGTTTATGTGAACGAAGATGTGAACAACACGAAGAAAATCCGTGTTCAAGAAACCGCACAAAATATACTTTAAATTTGTTTAAACTTTTGTTGTTTTCTAATTTACATAATCCGGACTGATCGAAACCGCACTAGTCATCAACTTTAATGTTAAGTTTATGTGAACGAAGATGTGAACAACAACAACAACAACAAAAGCTATGGATTTTAAGTGGACGCGTACAGCTGCCAAGGTGTAAGTTGAAAAATGGATCGAATTAATTCTCGATTTTCGAGCAATGTCTCATGCACCTGTACATTAGTCTTAATCAATGTGATATGTATTTATAGGACAAGAATTTGTATGAAATATTAATGATGTTTATGAAATATTTTCCGACATAATTTTCAGTCGTAATCAATTAAAATTTCTTCGAATTCGCATTGAACACTTACATAAATATTTCAATTATTATTTCATATAAAACTTTAGAAAATCTTTATTGAAAATCAAATAATCATTATGAAGATTTCATATTTGTAATAATTTTAAGAAAGATTTTTTTAATACGTATTTTTTCAATATGAATGTTTAAAATTTTAAATGAAAAATTATTTAAATATTATGATTGAAGTATGTAAAAGGTATTTTCAGAAACGCATTATACACAGAATGTATTTTGACTCTTGGGCGTGTACAGTTTTGTTGGGGAAACAACACTTTCGGATCCCTTTCTTCTGTTCCATGCGTACAATTACACAATTTGCAACACCCATGTTTACCGTCTTTTCTTTCTTTCTTTCTTTCTTTTTTGTTTGTTTGTGAATACACGTCCAGGTAAAGCGATTCGGGTGTTCGAAAATCAATTTTTCATGCACATCCACCGAATTGTGAACACACACCGTTTCCAAAACTGTCAACCGTTAGATTAAAAATCTTTTGATTCATTTTCATAACATAAATTACAATCTATTATTATTATTATTATTATACACGTATGCGCTTTTACCACACTTTGTAATTTCATATGTGCATAACCATTATATAAAACAGAAGATTTATGATAATGAAAAACTCGCGAACCGTGATCTATTGTAATTATAATCCATTAAAATTATGATAAATACAAATTTATGTTTAGAATCATAGTTTCTTTCTATAATCCTTTCATTTATATCTTCATATTATACAACAAACTCCGCACAGAATAAATGCATTTTTTTTTATTAATTTAATGTACTTTTATAGTTATTTCCTTTCATATTGCCTATTACAATTTTATACTTTATTTTCAGTAATTACTTACATAATTGTACATTATTTTTATTAATATTATATATTCATATTTTTTGTTCAAATATTGACTAAATTTTTATAAAACATATTTAAAAACAATCCAATAATTCCTATTCATATTCTGACTAATATCTCATGATCAAGACTGTTTTGAATTAAAAATGATATGATTTTATGTAACGCCTCATATTATTAATCATGATATATCTAAATGTGTATAATAAATTCCAATTAGTAGATATGTAATATTCTCTTTTTTTTACACAAAAAAATACTTACTAAATATATAGTAATTAGTATTAATTTCTACCATTTATAATCGAGACTTTACAATCTAGCAAAATCAATTTATGTTAAGTCATTGAAATTGATTAATCGCCAATCAATATGTCATTAATTTTCTAAAATTTCAATTCGTATACAACCTAAACGCTAATTATTGTATTAAAATAGCAAATCGATATGGAAATCAATGAACTCATTAAACGATTTCATCGATCCGCCGTTACCTAATCGATTTACGCAAATCCAATATCGCCGCTGTTCACGTAACGCTTCTTAATTAATGATCAATTCAGAAGGCGGCGAACGGAAAAGGAGAATTAAACAAAAAAAAATTGGAGCTATTCTATCTTAAGCCCTCGTCTCATCTTCATATTTTATCTCGTCTAAAAAGTATTTGGACAGAACCTGTCAAAACATCGTTAAAATAATTAGGTCTACTACTACTATATATATTTTTTTTTCACTCTACGTCGTAAAAAGAAAAACCTCTTTAAGATGTCTCGAAAGCTGCGAGGTTCATTATTATATAACGGAGATAATTTATAGAAATGTTAAATAACAACAATCATACGCGATAAAATATAAACGGCGCTGCGGGAATGGTGCGATTTGAATATAAATTCAATGTTATTAAATGCAGTAATTCATGTTATATCGTCCATAATCGAGGTTTGCAAACCGCAACAACAACAACAAAAATGGGTTAAGACTTGATGCTAATGCAATGCAAAGCTGATTTTCCCATGGTGTAAATATAATTTATAATTAGAGGCTATTAACTCTACATGATATAAGAAAAAAAAATGGAAAATAATATATAGACATGATAATCAATTTTCATGCATTGATTATGTAGAACCAATTAATCATTATTTGCTGTCGTTTTTTTTTCTCTCTTCTACTTCTAAGAAAAATAAATTATTTCGTTACTTTGGCTAATTATAGAATTAATTATTATTTATATATTATGTGGCGGAGGCGAATGGGGAAAAAAAAAAGCAGGCGCACACATCAAGAACAGGCTGTGTGTGTGTGTATCGCACACGCCTTCTCTGATGGGATCTACAAGTTAATCTAAGTAAGATCTTCATGAATATGCAAATTCGTTAATAAATTTATATATCTGCGCGCCGGTCTCTGTGTTAGTGTGTGTGTTTTATATTTATGAGAAGGCGCTTTCTGAATAGAGATTTAGTAATGAAATTGATTAATTTACCTGAGCTAGGTCTGTCGCTGTACCTGGTGCAATACACCCAGGCTGGCCAGAGCATGGGTTGGCTGGAACCGGAGGCTCCTTCCTTCTTTTCCGGTTCCGCTTTACTCAGATCAACCGGTCCTCCGACTGCAGACGACGCTGCCGTTGCCGCCGCCGCCGCCGCCGGTGCGCTTCCAGAACTGGTCACAGTTTCCTGTTCGAAACTTCTGCGCGGTGCTTCAGGTACGAGCTTTTTTGGTTTCACTTTGCGAATGTTTATCGGATCCGTGATCCGTCTACCGAAATCAGCTTTCAGTATATTGTCGATGGAGAACTTTAGGTTGCCGTTGCTGGGTTCGTTGTTGTTGTCGTTCTTCGTGCTGTTCTGTCGGAAGTAGAAGGGTTTGCTGTCGAGCTTCGGGCTCTGCGGTGAGTCCGGACCGGAAGTGTACGCTGTCGTCTTCTGACTGCTCGGACTTAAAGGTGATGAGACCGAGGCCTGCCTGAACTTATCGTACGACTCTGGCGACGTCGGATTGGATTTCTCTATGTTCCTGTAGATGAAGTTCGGCGATTCGGACTTCGTACTGGCCGGGCTAAGTCTATGACTATTTGGACTAGATGGGTCGGATTTGATGCTGCTACTGTTGTTCGGATCCAACGTACTGTTCGTTATCTTCGAGATCGCGTTCAGATGGCTTTCGATGTTCTTGAACGACAGATTTTCCTCCTGGTGGACGACCGGATTCTCGTTGCCGACGGACAACACGGTGTCGTCGCTGCAGCAGCTCGCGTTGTCCAGGTTAGGGGATTCCCTACCAAAGTCGTTCGAATCCATCGAGACGGATCCGTCAGTGCTTTCCAAGTTTCTGCCGAAGTATTTTGGAGATACCAAGTTGCTAGTGAGAGCTGCCATCGCCCTGGCCCTCCAATCACATAACCCGACACGCGGGGCGACTACCAAAACTAACTTGTTCACGAAAACTTATTGTTCGCGCCGCCGATTCTCATCAAGTTTCGGGTCTGAGTTCTAATTGCACAAATCACAGCACCATAATGTCAAAATGAAAACCCGACATTTACTAATTAACCCACTGAAGGTAAGGGGAGCGCCTTCGATCTAACCACGACGAGATACTATGTTACTCTGAAGGTAAGGACGAGCATTTGGGCGGGGCATGGCGCGATGTGGGCGTGTCGTCGATGGGAATGGGACTGGCCGTCCGCCAATCAGACGTCGAACGGCCAATATTCCGGTAGGGTTTGACATGTTTTATGGGTTATTTATAACCCTGCACCGCAAAGTGGGGGCGATCGTTGTGTGGTTTCGTACTTCATATTCATGTAAAATATATCGTTATTTATGGTTTTGATTAACTGGATTGTGTATTTTTTAGACTGATGTCTTGTTTTAATGCAAAACGGATTGATCATCTATAATACAGCGGTCGGGGAACCGGGGTAAATTACCCAAAATGGGGTAAAAATGAAATTTTTCTAATTTCATCTTAACCAAACTCAGAGAGCGGTTCTCTGACTACTTTTCAGATCTTTTAAATGTGAAATTACTAATATACCAGAAGAACCTCCAG